TGCCGGTGAAACTCGTCCGAGGATACACACGGGCCAATCTTTGAGCCTCTATAACTCCCTAACTAGGCCATTTGCCGACCTAATAGTGTCAGATATGGTATACGTAGGGGCCTCAAATTCATCCTGTGGGGGAATCTCAGAAACCATTTCCATCGTGAATGTGCCTTTAATTAACAAAAATTATGGATGATACTCAAATTGGTTCTAAAGGTTCAATAGTGGTTTGGCGGCTTGTAAGCAACCCAAACCGACTTGAACTGCCGTTCATTGGCTCGTCATATCAGACTCGGATTACCATACAGTTTTCCAAAACATTACTTTCAATTAAGTTCTGATCTGCATAATAATATACCTAAGTGGTTATGAGTGCCACGTCAAGGCAGGTAACACGGACATTACTGGGTGGGACAAACGACTGGTAACATTAGCAGGGACACTTACACAGAACTATATTATACTGTAACGACTGTAAGAAAAAAATGTCACTGCAGTAGGAAAAGGAATGTTCCAAATATGAACTAAATCTAGCTGGAAGTTACCCACCCTACTTGTACGACCCACAAAGCCCATTCTGACTTACTCAAACGAAACATTCTGTTCTACCTAGCGTAAAAGCGTTCGACAGCCCTAAAGAGCGCCCTAGACAATTATGGCTTCGACTATTTTTTAGGAGAATTGTGGAGTCATCAAGTCAAGTGGGGGAGGGAAGAATCAGCGCCTTATCTCTTCAAATCCGATGTGAATTTAGGCAGTGCAAAATTCAAAGCTACTGATCAACTTTCCCTCTTGATTTCACTCATTACCTCGAAAAGCTTCTCATCGGGAATGCACTCATTCCGAAATCACCGAATAAAATTGAATTTTACCTTTCCTGTAGCAGAATACTGTTTGAGAATGTATTCAGCCATGTGAAAATTGCCAACNCGATGTGAATTTAGGCAGTGCAAAATTCAAAGCTACTGATCAACTTTCCCTCTTGATTTCACTCATTACCTCGAAAAGCTTCTCATGGGGAACGCATACATTCCGAAGTCACCGAATAAAATTGAATTTTACCTTTCCTGTAGCAGAATACTGTTTGAGAATGTATTCAGCCATGTGAAAATTGCCAACTTCAACAGCGAACGTCAACGGTTTAGAATCTATGATTATCTCCTTTTGATACAACATTTGATGAAAGAGCTGTTTGGCCAATTTACTGCAAATAACTATTCCTGAATCTCAAGCCAAATTACATCAATAAAAAGTATTTTAACTAACTTGCGTTTACAGTTGATCGCCGATTTCATCGCGGTGTAAGGCACTTCAGTAGGATATTTTTCCATAAGGTATTCGACGATCGCCTAAAAAGTCCAATACTATTGCCGATAGTATTCTTTGTTTCTTTGTTTTTACATTTTTCCTGCGATGCCGACTTAATAGAATACTATTGCCGATAGTATTCTTTGTTTCTTTGTTTTTACATTTTTCCTGCGATGCCGACTTAATAGGGATCGCACATACACGGACCAAGTATAAATTCATTCAGTAACAGATTAAAAGAATAAAGTTTTCCTCCTTTTTCTGGACGCACCCCCTCACTCAACTTTCATTCAGGATCGTCATGGCGTTTTATAGGCGTATCTCTCTTATACATACAATGACTATAACAGCTGAATTTCGAGTCAATACTTTTATCTTCGCTCGACTAGCCTTCCTCCTCTTCATGGTAAAGGTAGGCATCAATCCAGGATTCGATCCGCAGACCATATGTGTGATAATGCGCGGAATTCGTCACTACACAACCAATATAAGGGTAATTGGGTGTGGTGCGTTAGGAACGAAATGGTCGCGTTGCGGTGAGAGGGGCGTCGCGCGCGAGGAAATGTAGCAGGATGCAGCAGTAGGTAAGAAATACAGGAACAAAAGTACTAATAGTAGAATTATGCATAAAATAATGATCGCATATCGATTGAGCTGTATGGAGAACGCTAAAGCTATAATAACGGCGAATGAGTGGTCCGCGACAGCCGCGTGCGGCGATTACCCAAAATCGTTCCTAACGCCCGTCTCTCCGGGTTATTCACCACTATACGCTCGCAGCAGGCTCTAAGAATATAGAATGACCCACCCCTATCAGATGACATCTCCTTCAGTCCCGCAAGTTAACCAGCCCAAACTCATTCTCATCGTTTTCCCAGGTTTGGATATATGTACCGCTCATCGTCGTGCACATACCGCCTCTTTTACACTCCTTTTCGTTACAAAATACTCGTTCAGGCACAACTAATGGAATGCTCCCGGTTCACAACCGTGGGAAAACTCTTACGAGAATATTGCCCAGTGGTTGAAGATTATCAAAAGTTTAAGGAATGTCGTGCCCAAGATAATTTGATTACTTTTCTGCCGTAACGTATGGAATATTTCGACGTACTCACCATGTGGCCATTTTCAAGAGCATAGATTATGGGTAAATCCCCGACAGCATCCGGTGTCATGCGTAGAACTTGACTCTGACACAAGAATTCGACCTGGAAGTACAAAAATGTCTGAGGTCCGTACAAAGCATAAGTATTGATCGATTCGAAACTCACGCATCTCAGATGACCAGCGGCAGCTGCCAAATGCAGTGGACTACTCATTCGTTTCCCGGGTTTCTGATCCTGTTCCACTAGACAGGACTCATCTCTACCACACATATCCCATAACCACAACAACATTTCATTGTCACCTTAAAAGAGGAGATTAGGCAAATTGGATTCCTGCCAAAAAATGAAAAAAAAAACTCAAATCACCAGCGTTGGCAGCTTCACGAAACGCTTGAGGGTAGTGATGCCGTTTAATGAGTCCCAAATCCACCAGTACCTTCACGATCTCTTTGTTACCGTAATAGGTGGCCAAGGACAGTTGCGATTCCTTAAGATCGATAAATATCAAAATAAGAAACATCCAAACAGAAATGGAGCTAACTAAGAAGTAAGTGTAAACTGTTCTGACTACTACAAAGCTTTGGGAACCCATGTGCTCTAACAATCCAGCATCCTGGCTATTACACGATAGTGAATTGGATAATTATCGATTTGTTATCTAATTGTGAGCGCTAATATTGAGACTTCGTAAGCGTAGAGGACCAACATAGTGAAGGACGTCAAACTCCACGAATACATTCCAGTGTGCGATAAAGGAATTCTGATGGATAAAATATTATCGGGCTGGTTAAAAGTGTACTTCCGCAGACCAAAGCCTAACATACAGGAGATGGACGGCGATGGATAAAGTCTTGGGCATCAATCAGTCCCCATTTTGGGATGCGCTCAGTCGACGTTCATTCAGAGTAGCAGGTCGCTTTGAATGTGTATGTGGCTTATGCAATGACTCGTGATAGCCAGCCGACGTACAAGTCAGCTTTTCGACCCTCTCAGAAGAAGCTGGTACCAATTAACCCTTTGACGACAATGCGGATTTCAACGTGACGCACCCGTGGGGCCACGCTCCCCTCCCTTCGCGTGCGGCTGGCTAAGAGACACTCAAAATTGGGTACTAATGTCCCATGCGCCAGTCACAGTGGCACCCACCGGTTGGTGTTATTGTCGTCAAAGGGTTAACTGACCCAGGAATTATAAAAGGCTCGATTGACTTGGACGAATAACGTCCTCGAATTCAATTCCCAGACCTTATGTGATAGTGTGCCGCTTGTCACTACGCCGCCTCTGCCTCGTCGAAAAGGAAAATGACAAAGCAGAGTCTTTGAGGAATCTGAACCCTTGGTCCCCTTTAAACTGATCCCAATGGCCATTAAGGACTATTCCTGTGGTAGCAGATTGTGAGTGAAGCATTTGTACTGACTCTTCAAGGAGTCCAAAGGGTCAGCGAACGCGCGCTACTACATACTATAAACGCAGCTATGGACTTGAATAAGTATAAGCCTCACAGTATAAGGACGAAACGGTAGAGAACTGTTCGGTGATGCCATATCCGATTTTCGTTCACGAAGTGTATCCACCGTAGTACAACTAAGTAGTGCTTGTGCACATTGCAGATCATCTGTAAAGACAGCATCAAACCTATGTGAGTTCGAGGAACTATTGTTAGGTAAATGGATAGGAAATGGTTACTGTACCGTAGAAAACAGCCATGTCAAACGGTAGCAGTCTGGAAAAACTCGTCGCAATTGGAGTTCTCAGCCATCGAGTGATCATTTTCTGGAACCACACCTAAATCTGTCGAAAACCATAGTCACTTCTGTTTAACTCACATTGTAGTGGTCGTGTATTTGCTCATTTGGAAAACGCTCCTCATCAGGATAGAGTATCGACTTGATCAACTGAAAATTCTCATCATAGCTTCACATAACAAATGTTACCTTCGAAACAAATCAATACTTTATGTCAAGAATATTTGATAAAAAAATTGGACAAAAAAAAAGGTTGGACATTCGCTCATTTCTTCGAGGTGCGCCATCCACTTAACTTCTACAAATATCTAATAATTTTGTTATTTAAGTAGCTAGAGCGACTGAACGAGAAGAATTCAAATGTCGGGTCACTGTTCTGCCGCAGATTTCTAGACTGGAACTGGAACTGGTGGAAGGATGGTTAAGTTCCTGCCCAACCACACGGAGAGTGATGAGCGACTATGCCATGTGTATTCTCACTTTCCCACTCAGCTTACGATTCTTTTCAACTTCATTGCCTCCCATAAGGACCTCCTCCATTCTACCTCCTAGTACCTCTTTACCCTCATTATATGAGCCTCGAAGAAGTGGTTCATAATATTTCATTTCCGTAACCCAACAGCTGCCGAACTCTCCTTTTCCACACTTTCAGACTTCTGTCGTGGCCTGTGCTGCATCGCTGTCACATCGCGAGTTAACCAGCAATGTTCTCAATAAAAGTTCTCTTGCTAGGTAAGTCACAACTGGAGAGAAGGTGGGAAAGGGACTTGGAAGCAGAAAAATAGGTTGAGAGGGAGTGCAGCAGGTAACGCTAAAAGTTACATTATATCAGACTCAGACTAAAACCAGGAAAGCTATTAGTCTCCTTATCGCACCAATGGTAGGCTATCTCAACCGACTCTCCTAACTTCGTATCTCGACTTCAGGTTGAAATTACCAAAGCTCGAGCTAAAGCTGAGAAGCTTCCAATGACTTGGGTCAGAACAAATTCAGGAACCTACGCTGCCGTAGTTTCCTGAGTCCGTTTCGACCCAGGTACTTGGAACTTTCTTGTGTCCTTTTAGCCACAAGTCAGATACGCTTGGGTAGCGATTTTCAGAAGGCGAATAGATCGCTACCGACTTGTGACTATGAGGACACAGGAAAATATGAAAAAAAAGAAAAACAAACAACAATGAAAAAGACTTCTAAAAAACATTGAAATAGGTTCTGTTTTCGATTCGACTTTTCTCAACTGAGCTCACCTCAGCGTTCCCATGTGCAGCCGCGAAGTGGAGTACGTTTGCTCGGGTTGCGGGAGAAGTTGAGTAACATATGCAATCCTGAAAACGAATTTGATCAAAGAAAAGTGATCAGGCTATCTTTTGCTTCGCTCAATTGGCATAACATAAGATTAATCTCACGTATACTCATTTTTGGATACTTGCGCAATTCTTGAGCAAAACTTGAGTTAGATTGGCCGACTGATATAGTAGCATCCAAGAGCATTCGTAAAAGTTGACACAGGTTTTCTTTAGGTTTAGCGCTAGACCAGTTTTCAATATGAATTTTTTGCCGCATGTGATAGGGCATGGATTACTGAGTACTGGGGTAGTGGAGAACAGAAAAGGAGTCTACCTGATAGCACGATTCCTCGTCAATCATATGCGTTTTCTGGACAACCAGTTTGAAGAACATGCCTACATTGCCAGATACCCCAGTCAACAATATTGGATTGCTCAGCATGTCCTCTGTAGCCACTGGATAGAGGCACTCGAATTTATCGCCACCTCCTTTTGTGAATTTCGTATTACGCTAAAGAAAACATTTGATGCGCTGATCGACCTCGGAAAAAGAAAATACGATACCAGGCAAATTCTCTGCTCTGAATATCTACTGGACTACTGGGGTATTTGATGCATTTGCATAAATCAAGGAAAACATATGAAAAAGTAATATACGAAGCTATAAAGCTGCTTGAAATGGGCTAAGCACCATATTTTTAATCCCATTCCTAGGATACCTAAGTGACTCCTTGCTTTGGGAAAAGGGCATAGGACTGTCAAGGTAGGAGACGTTACGGCATTTCAGCCATTTTCCGGTTCGCTACGACTACTTCAATAAAAATGAGAGAAATGAGGCTGATCAGAGGTCTATCGATGGGTAACCCTCGGTATCATGATCCACAGATGATTGGTAAGGAACAGTAGCACTTCTTAGTGGATAAATAGCTTCTGAATCCTGAACACTCTAAAAACACTCTTTTCACCATTCTTATATGCCTACTTAATCAGTGCTTCCATCGGGGAGCTCGACCCTGGCCGATCGAATTGCACCACACCCGTTTGTTCTACGCAATATCTGGAGAGGCTTTGAGGTCAGCCATAGAGGAGACACTTCAAAGTAGAAGGAAGTTTGGAAGATAGATTTGGAAAGAGATATAGACAGGTGAAGCCGGACGTCACCATCGATGATCGGACCCTGGTTCGTAAGCAGTCCATGCCAGTGAAGACCTCTATTCCTAGTCCTATTGATAAAAGGGTTCCAAGCTCGTGTTTGGGGTCAAAGTCCCCATTTGTTTGTACATAAGCTAGGTGGGCACATTTCATAAGGTCCGAACAGTGCTCAAATTCTATTCTTCAAACCTCTGATTGTCCCGGACTCCCTTATTGGGAATCGAACCCGTCCCGAATTATTGATCAATATTAATAATTAATCTTACTACAAACAGACAAGTAGCTGTTCACAAACCTACTAACTCACTTTATCAAATTTTCGCAAATTTCTTTGGTTCTCCTCGCGAAATCCCTCTTCAACATCATCACACAATTTGTCCAGTTCTCGTTCCACAGTGAAAGGTGTATGAGGCCGAGGATACTCTTAAAAGTGAAAAATTTCAGCAACAGGATATACACCACAAAAATTAGACCCTGGCGACGATACAATCAGATTGAATTGCTCTGGGCAGTCACAGGGCAAACTACCACTACACCTCTAGACTGACAAAAAAAAACTTTCCCAATCAAAAGCTTACGATGAGTTGCCAGGGCTTGTTGGCAGGTGAGCAGCATACTGTAATACCATGATGGGCTATGTTTGAAGTTGCCATTGGCCAATGAAGTGTAGACGTAGTAGGCCATTCGTGTACATACGTCGTCAAGCGACATCTGAACCTTCACAACTTCCAAACCTGATCATTTCTTCGACTTTTCCCTTCTAAATCAGTACTCAAAGCCGTTAACTATGAATCACACAACTTACCATTTTCAGATCTTCTATCGTGGCCTCAACGTCAACATCAAGAGCAGCCTAGGAACATAAAAATTATCAGCGCTCAATGGACAGCCTAGTAAGTTGCCAGATGGCGTGACTAGTGCCTGGCTTCACAATTGAACCTCGAATTTTCCCAGCTCCAAAGTTCACAGCTGACGCGTTCTATTTCTTATTTTTCCAACTTGTTGCTGGGCGCAAGACAAGACATGTCGCTAAAAACTACCTCCAACAAGCACCCTCCCCTTTTCTTCCCCCCATGTCATTCGGGAGTATGTAGGCAATGCTTCAGTGCATTGTTCTGAAGCGGTCTGTAAGACTCATGACACCGCCCTTCCTCACTATGCATACGCCGTACCCATCTCGCCCTACGAGTATGGACCAGGTAGCGTCAGGTCAGGAGGGATGGATCGCCTAAATATCATCTTTTACCTTCGCTGAAAGTCTTACGAGCATATTTTCCCGTCCATTCATTCGGAGATCTGTATAGCCAAGAGCCATGAATCCAAGAGCAATCAAAAAACTAGTTACTGCTATCAGCCTTAGCTTTTACCTGGAAGTCGCTGGCTCTTTATACATAGTTCATCTTTTCAACTTGCACTGCATCATTCTTTGCTGCATCTCACAAACCTTTTTACAAGCCCACTACCTCTATCACCATTGACAAATCCGACCTCGATTTCCTATTTCCCAAGAAAATATGTTCACACTGGTACCCGTGATAATTGGCTAACCCACCAATTAATCACCAATTCCCAGTAAATTCAACTTCAAGCATAACCCTGCATACACGTTCTACGATGGAAGACCACACGGAATGCTACATTCTTGTACCCAAGCGTATTTAAAATTTATCGGAATCCTAATATGACAC